ATAAGAAGATCTAAGTTGCCAGCAGTTTAATTTTTCTACTCCTGAGGGCTGAAACTTTCAGTCAAGTTTTCTCAAAACATAACCACAAATCTGTATTTGTAACGATATCTAGTGCATCCAAAGTAGGCACCCAAATAGGTAAAGAAAATAGTATATTTTTTAACTGTGCATGTCACTGCATGAATCATGTGCATAACTGTGCATTTTTTGCAGGTTCATTAATATAAATGTTTTGATATATCTGTAATAATAACTATTATGTTTTCAAATTGTGTGATGATCTTCAAGTAATAATTGTGTACCAAACGAGCATAATAAATACTGTTATGAAATTTGTACAAAGATAGATAATTTTAATGAAATTATAAGTGAAATTGTTGTATTTTTCTGAACAATGTAACACGAGAATCTAGACAGAAGATGCTCTGCCAGAAAAATGAGAATACAGGGCAAGTCTATTTAGCATTGAGTAAATGGCTATCTTGCTAATTTGGTGAGATATCGCAGAGTTGGTAACAGTTTTGGCAACTAAATTTGTTGCTAAACTTGGCGGTATTTTGGTCCAGTCCTTGTGTCATCGTAACAGGTATTGTAATTTATTTCATACGTAAATGTAACCGTACCTGGTCCTCATATGCTTTCTTGACAGCCAGGTGAAAACTATATAAAGCCAGAGAACATTTGATCTCAGTTGTTGTTTACTGTGAGTTCGGAGTACTGAGTTACTTTACTCTTTACATGTGCTTTGCATTACATTGTGTTTAACGATCTTATTAGTTTGAAGTGTAACTACTGACTGTACTCTGTGATACTGTGAGAAGTTGTACAACTATTTTTGTAGAAAGTTTCAGAACTGTGAAGTGATACTTTGGGGAAAATAAATTTTATCACCCTACCATCAATTCTGTGTGCATCCAATCTATTATGAACCCATATGCATGCAACAATACCTAAAAGTTTTCCTGACTTCAATCAGTGCCTACTGATTACATTCCAAAGATGTCCAGTGTACTAGTATTGCAAAAGTAGGGAGCACTGAACAAACTTGAAGGTAAAACATATCAGAATAAAACTCCAAAATGAGACAATAAGCAAAAAATGAGAGACAGACAGAGATCAAGAAACTACGCTCTAAATACCCTTTTCAGTGTTGCTGTCTTACAAGTTAGATTTACAACTTGAGATCTGTAATACTGTTTGTGATAATGATAATCTCTTCTGCCCCCCCTCTGATATCCCTTTTAAATAGTTATGCACTGATCTAACCAGGAATTCAGTTGCAGAATGAATGAATCAAAGGAAAAAAATAATAATAATCAAAAAACCATTTAATGTTGAAAACTATTTAATCTACAAATTTTGAATAGCAAAATCATATAAGTAAACAGCATAAATAATGAAAGCTATGGTTTCAGAAATTAGTCTTCTAATAGCAGAATACTTTCAATAAGTTACCTGAAAGCAATTTTATAAAAACAAGAACATCATCACATATAAAAATGTTTATTTGCACAAAAACATAAATTTTCTATTGAGGGAAAAAAAAACCCATGTATTGGAAGAAAAAAAAATTTTTTTTTTTTTAATCCAACATCAAAGAACCACAACTTTAATAATAGCTTATATGTAAACCAGTCCCCCCCCCAGTTCAAATGTAAATACTGGTGAGATATGGAAACAACCATTTTAATTTGCAGACAGAATTACATTAACTCAGATCTTCTCATTAGTAGATTGTTAACCAAGCAGTTATGAATTTTTGTTTTGTATATGTGTCGTATACAGTGAGAAAGGGCATTTTCTTTCATATCAGGCAGAACATCTTCAAAAATTTCTAGCCAATTATTAAATGCTAAAACACTATATACCATAATTTGAATATTTTGTTCACTTCACCTGGTTACTTTGATAGTTATTAATAAATAAGTCACTCACTTTGTTTCTCTCAACTATTCTTTATTAATTTCTCTCATGCAGACCTGCTCATTTTAATTTCTTAAATTATAAATGTCACAGTTTTGCTTCATAAGAGAAACAAGGCATGAAAAGTTGCTGCAAAAGTTTCACAGTCTGCAATAAATATTTAACAACTAGCATAAAACTGCCAACTAAAAAGCATTTTCATTAATGAAATAATAAATATGCATCTAAATATTTGTTAGATGCATATTTTTTATTATGTGGTCGTTAGCATGTGTTTCTGCGACACCTTTGACGATGCTTTATTTTTTTCTTCTTTTTTCCCCTTTCTAGTAATTTCGTTCTCCTGATGAGGAGGGACCTTTAGCTGCCCTCAAAATCGGTTGAGTGTTTTAATATATGTACGCCAAATACAAGGTTGTTATTGCAATTTTGATTAAATGATAGGGTATCAAAATTTAAAAGACACAGAATAATATTATAGACAGATAAATATTATAGTTTTCACAAATTTAACTAAAATTTTAGACATTCAAAATGATTACTAGATTTTATATAAAATAATAATATATATCAAGGGGGAAAATACAGCGTGTTTCAAAAATAATATGCGTTTTTCAAATGCATATATTTATTAAACTGTATGACATACGAATATGAAACTTTACACACATATGTACAAACCTCTCAAGTTCAGATTACAGATGTTCAATATGCTCTCCATTAGCGACACGAACAATATCACATCAATACTCAAATTCCTCCCATACTCGGGCAAGCATGTACTGTATACAGACATATACAGAGTGATTATACAATATTAGGCAAAAATATAAAAGCAGATAGATAGAGGAACTCTATCTGCTTTTATGATAACAAGCAGATTTTGTAATGGAACATGTGTGCATAAATGATGCATTGAGGTAGTAGAGGGTGCTCTTGATACTGGTAAGTGAAAGTGACTTACTGAAATAAATCATCATTCCATGTACATATTTCAAGTGGCATGCACTGCTATATAAATGTAGAGGTTGTTAACATGCATTTTACTTATGAGGCTGTGAATGAAAGAGTAGCAACTGCTCAAAGGGTATAAAAAGAATGATGATCCCCAAGCAGATAACTGCTACGTTGCAAATTTTGTATTAGTGTTATGATTATACTTTCAAACACTACTATAAAAAGGCAAATCATTAGAATGTTTGTTTCTTTTGCCTTTATTATTTACCTTATTTTACTTATCTATCTATCTTATTTTACTTACTACTACTTTGCCTTTACATATTTATCTATCAGTTATTCATATCTACTCTACATGCACTGTTTCCACACACATATTCTAAATACAGAAATTTACTTCCTTTCAGTCCTCTTTACTTGCCTTTATATTTTTGCCACATATTTTAGAATCACCCTGCATATCTAAACATTTTTAATCAAAACTCAAATTTTATAAATGGTTATTGCTTACATTCAGTCTAGCAGAGTGACACAAAAGAACGGGAATTTTTTAAATGCGTAGTGGCAGCCATGAGCAGATGGTAGTACTCCGGGACAGTGAAATTGAGCAAGTAAACATTCCACTATTTTAATTACCATGGATCAGTGGAATGGGCAACAGGGTGCGTTTGCTATAAAAATGTTCTATAAAAAACAGTTATAGGTTGAAATCTGCACAGAGGGAGTTCTGACATTTTTACAACTTAGGTCATTATGGTGCCATTCCATCAAATCATGCTATAAAAAGTTGGATTAATAACTCTGAAGAGACTGGATCTGCCCTAAAAAAGAAACCAATGGGAGGACCAAGAAGTGTTCATATTCCATAGAACACTGCTGATGTATGCAAGTCTGTCATACAGAGCCCACGGCATACAATTCATACGCAAGCAGCTGCAATTGAAATGTCCCATGACAGTATTCACCAAATTTTTCATTTAGATTTGAAATTCCATCCATACAAGCTGCAGATAGTGCAAGAACTCAAGGAAAATGATTAGCAGATGCGATTAGAGTTCTGTCAATGAATGATGACAAACGTAAACAATGAGGATGAATTTCTGAGCAAGCTGTGGATGTCAGATGAGACCTGTTTTCATTTCACAGGTTATGTGAATAAAAAAAACTACCGTTACTGCACAGACACAAATGCAGTATGCTGTTTTATTACATGGGATCATCAGACCATTTTTTTTTTTTTTAATGAACAGATCATAGTAACTGTCAGTGTGGGTCATTGAATGGATATGTTACAATTTTTCATTACACCTGAAATGACCAATTTTCCACACATTCAAGATACCTGGTTTCAGCAGGATGAAGCGACATCACACACTGCATGACAGTCAATAGAAGCTGTGCAAGAATTGTTTGGTAACCGTATGATCTCAAGATTCAGTAATGTTCCCCTCCCCCAGATCTCTAAATTTGTCTGTTTGTGATTTTTTCTTGTGGAAGCTATCTCAGAATAAAGTGTAAACGACTCAACCAAGAACTCTGGATGAGTTAAAACAGAGAATTCAAGATGAAATTCATGGTATCCCAGCTGAGATGTTGTAGCCATCAATGACGAATCTCAACAGCGGATTTCAAAAATGCATTCATACAAGAAAACACTATCTAAAAGACAGATTTTTTTAAAAAATGATAAATTCCATTAATGTTTCTTAAATGGTAAGTTTTAAGGTTTCAATTACTATGAATAAAATGTGTTTCTTCCATCATTCTTGGTTTTATTGGACTGTTAAAAAGTTCTTGTTATTTTTTGTGTCAGAGGACAATTCACACCAGTTTCTTATAGAAAAATGTATGCATTAACGGTGCCTATTGAACACACAGTTTCATGTTAAGTTCAACTCCAAGTAAGGCAGAATAGATGCATTATTGTGCATTTTTGTAATTTTTCAATATACACCATAAATAAAGTAGTTCAGATATTTACTTTATTAGATAGTTAGCATAGTATCACTTACCATTAAATAACTGCTTTCTTTCAGATCAATATAAAATACAGAAAATTATAATAAACACAAATAACAATATAATTTTTTTAAAAAAAAAATCTGAGCTACAAACCATACTTTTATCAGCTGCTTGGAATTTTGATGTTCTTTCAGATTGACTTTTTGCTAACTCTTCCTTTACCACATTTTCAACTATAGAATGAAATTCATTCTGAAGTTTTCTGAAAAGTATCTGTGAAATAACTGTGTCAACAGTGTATGCCATAATGCTGATCCTGAAGAAAAGATGAGAAACAGAACCGTTTAATTTGTTTTCCTCTACAATGGGCTGCATGATTAACATTATATAACCAAAAAATATAACAGAATAAAAAAAAATGGTTCTAAAAATAAAAACAAAGGCATTTTTGAGTTTTTAAAGATTATACTGTTTGATAATCTCTTCTTTCAAACCATACTTTCAGTATCTACTTTGTATTTTTTACTTTATTTTTGATATTTTGCACACTTAATTCTAACCTTTCAATAGTTTAAAGTAGCACTTTTATAAATACAGAATGCATTTTTAACTTTGGTATGCATTTATAAGTGTTATTTAAACTTCTCTGCAGACAAACTGCACCTACAAGCTGAAAATGGCTGAATCCATGTAAAATGATTTCCAGTTTTCGATAGAACTATGATTCCTAGCTTGGGATATAAACAGCAAATTCCTATACATAATTTTCTAAACTTGATATAAATCATGAATTTAAAATTTATAAAACTCTTTATCACACACTAAATAAATTAATAAATAAAGAGCTAAAATTTACTTAATTTCTCATTATCCGATAGTTGTGGAAAAATCAAAACAACTGTTATCACTGTTATCAGGACACAGATTACATAATAAATCAAACAAGACAAATGTTGCAGATTTGATTAGCTTTAGAATATTTTATATTATCCAGTTTTACAACATTTATATTTACTGAAAGTTCAAGAATAACATTTCCTGCTTATTTATCAAAGTATTTTGAAGAAAATACATATTATTATTATATATTACAGTTTTTAATTACTCTTGGTGATGAACTTATGAAACTGCAGGGAGCTGCGAGCAGTTATGAAACTGTGACATCTTTAAATTTTGATATTTGAGAGCTCTTGTTTTAGAGACAGTAGAAGTTTTTCCATTATATATATAGCATTATATATATACAGTACAAAGTCTTTAATCTGAATGTCCATAATCTGGAATGATCTATAATCCGGACCTCAAAGCTACAAACTTTCTGCGCATGTGTGGTGATTATGCATACTTTTACGCATGCACATATGTTTACGCATGCGCGTTTAATGTATAACGGCTTTTCAAAGGGCCATAGATGCAATATTAAAACCTCTCCTAATAAAAGCACTTATTTAGATGATATAAACATAACTAGAGAGATGACAGATGAACATATTAGGAATCTGCACAAAGTGTTTTTGCTTCTAAACGAAGCAGGACAAAAAATAAATGCTCCAAAATGTAGGTTTATTGCCACGGAACTAAATACTACATATTAAACTAAATATTACTAAATTTTTCATTACTTACTGTTTATAAATATTACAGCATTAAAATTTTTTGCTGTTCAACCTACCATTGGATAACTGATTTATGGGATTAGAATATACTTAGAATATAAGTTACTACTCACCAGCATTTTTAGCAAACTTGACTCTACATATTTACACGAACCCTTGTTGTACTAATTTAATCCAGCATTTTATTTCGACATAGTACTGACCATGGAGTATAAAGAAGGAGAGGAAACTGGTATTACCACTTTTCCCCAAAAATGGTCCACTTATTGTCGCATTATTTATAGAGGGCATTGCAATCATTAGCTTTTTGCAGTATTTTGCATAGACAGTAAAGCAAAAATACTGATTTGATATCCATTTTTATTATGAAAAAGTCAAATAATGGACACTGTTTTGTCCCTGGATGCAACAGTGGTTATGGAACTGTTAGACTGAAGAACAAAAGCTTGGGAATCAAGAAACCAGATATATTTAGAGTTCCAAAGGTGAGCAACATTTATATTGTGCCTGATCATATATACAAATTTATATAACTTTTCAGAACGTCAGGATTGCTAGTAAATAAGAGAATATTTACTGTATGCTTATTAAAAAAGTAATAAATTGAAAATTAGTTAAATATTGCACATAGCTTATGTGCATCTGCATTTCGTCCATGAAAGTATGCAATCGTTAGATTTTAAAGCTAAATAAATTTCTGAAATTATACAAGAATTAAGAGTATTTGCCCTTCTATTTCATTTACAGAAAAGAAAATAAACTCATTCCCTCTTCTTTTCAGTTTGAAATAGGTTTTTATAATAAATGGAAAAAGAAGACAATGCTGCATGATTGAGCGAAAACATAACAGCAGATAAGTGCAATGAAAAATGGATTTTCTGTGAGATAAATTCAGCATATTAAATAAGTTATGAATATGAAACCATGCCACCTGATCACATGAATGAATGGCTATTAAAAATTAAGATTTAAATCTTGTTACAGTGCAGAATGAGAACCATTATGCACAAGGATTTTAAATTTAAATTTGTAGAACTGTTCAAGTGTTACATGCTGCAGTTAAATTTTAATTTGACATTACAATTTTCAAATTAAATTTGCATCAATGTAATGTAAAAAAATTACATGCAACAATTATACTTTTATTTTGTATGTAACTGAATTCTGATATTTATATATACACTTAATGAAATATTTTTCACAGGATTCTGTGCTGTTAGAAAAATGGAGACATGGTATTTCTCGGGCCAACCAAATACTTTCGGAGAAGGATGTTGCAACAATTTTCAAGAAAAGCACCTGCTGCAAGAAATGTGTGTGTGATTGCTTCCTTGATTGCAGATGATGTTACTGCTTCTAAAGCCACAAAGGATTTTATTTTTTTCTCTGTTGACTGAAAATCTACAGAAGATTTCCAAACCACATTGTATGTGGATCGTAAATTCTGTAGTTGTATTTATTGTATGTGCTCGATGAACTACTAATTACATGTGTGAGAAAAGCATTATAATTGATAAAGATATGACTAAAGATTAGTTTTGTTTTGACATTTTTATAATTTCAGTATTGTGCATCAAATTGCATTTGGTACTACTGTGCAACACATTCTTTTTTTTTTTTTTTTTTTTTTTTTTTTTTTACTAACTTATTCTTCATACATTCTGCCCAACATATACAAGTGTGTAAAAGTGTTTGATTTCAAAATTTCGCAGTATGATGTGATTGGTTACAGCCAAAAACATCGCAGACGAAAACGTCACGGAGAAAACAACGCAAGGCGAAAACGTCGTGCTACAAAACATCGCTGGAGAAAACATGGCAGTTCTAAAACATCGTCGTCCAAAATAAAGCGGTTCAAAAACTTCGCAGTTGAAAAACATCGTTGTCGAAAATATTGTGGTAAAAAATAAAGTATCTACAAATCATCGCATGACGATAACATCGCAGACATGCTTTTTACAGACATGCTTTAAATAACTGTAAATGGATATTCCCATAATGATTTGTGAGCGCAAGATGGAAAGAAGGATAATTTTTACTTCCATATTTTTTATTAATTAATAAATTTTTGCTGAGAAAATAAAAAGGAAACTTAAGCATAGAAAATTAATGCAACTTATAGCACTTAATAAAATTTTAAACCGACATTGTTAACTAACAAAGGCCATTAATAAATCATTTTTATAAAGTTTTACTGGTAATTTTTCATGAAAAGTATAATCTATAAGTTGCATTTAATTTTCTATGCTTAAGTTTCCTTCTTACTTATTCAACAAACATTTATTAGTTAATAAAAAAATGTGAAATTAAAAATTATCCTTTACACCTTGCGCTCACAAAACATTATGGGAATATCCATTTACAATTATTAAAACCTGAAAAAAGTATATTTGATATGTTATCGTCATGCGATGATTTGTAGATACTTTATTTTTTACCATGATGTTTTCAACGACGATGTTTTTAAACTGCAAAGTTTTTGAACCGCTTTATTTTCGACGGCGATGTTTTGTACTACGATGTTTTAGAACTGCGATGTCTTCTCTTACGATGTTTTGTAGCACGACGTTTTCGCCTTGCGTTGTTTTCTCCGCGACGTTTTCGTCTGCGATGTTTTTGCCGCGATGTTATCAGTGTACACCATGTGATTGGAGTTGTTTGTGACATTTTTTCATCCCGTATGTGATTTATCTAATTAAGTATAACTGGAGATGTACAAAAATTGTATTTTGCCTTATCATGAAAATACTTCATTTACAATTATCTACTGTGTACTTACAATATGATATATTAGAAAATGTTACATACCATATTTATATCATGCACTTATATGTATTTTGCATAAAAAGTTGCTGACAGTAAGACTGAGTTTATATGAATATATTTTTCATGATGAATTATGGAATATTAAAATAAATGGTTCCTTGTTCTAATATTAGAAATTTTGTTTACCTATATGGCATGGTTTGGTGATACTTAAATGAATAAATAGTTCCACTTAAAATGCAATTTGTAATCTACGTAATATGTATTTCAGACTGTTAGTTCTATCATGATTTTATATGAGGCTGGCACCGTGTTACTGGAATTTTTATTATCCACATATTAATTTTTCCTTCTTCTCCCCGCCTCCCTGAAATGTGGTGAATATCTGATGAGGTCACATTAAATTTATGTCCCTGGAATTATTGTCATACTATATCATTAGATGCAATGCTTATTTGAAACACAAATTCACTTCACTTTTGTTGGTTGTGCATTAGCACTGAAGGCGTAATGAGTATGTTTCCTCAAGCACAGAATTAAAGAATCATAAGTCAAAAGATTAACTACGAAATCTTTATTTAATAAAGTAGGATAATTTTGCTTAACTTCAGCATAACAAAAAGTAATAATGTTCAAGGACATTAAAATTGAAGCATTCAAAAGAATAACTTACATAGAATCATCATCAGTACTAAATATCATCAGGCTTACCTATATTATGCAATAAGAAAAATAAACAGTAACATACTTTGCCATCGTACCTGAAAGAGAAGAAAGTACTACTGGATTAGACCTTTGGCCAGGTACAAGTAGCTAGGGTGAAAATCAAATATACTGCATTGCACACGAGCTTTACTTTCTCTCGCCAATATATACCTTGGCGCACGTTCGTTTCGTATGACTTTCAAGTTTCATTATGCAAAATACCTAAATCTATGCTAACAACTTTAGATCCAGGTGAATCAGCAATTGCCAACATTTTGAAAAATCCTTCTTTGCTTAATTCAGCAAAAGTACATAATTTCTTCATAAATGATTCAATAAGCTTATGTATGTTTTGAATAAATGAAATAATGCTGAATTAGTTGTTGTCCCACTAGCATTGAAATCCTGTGAAAATGAGAAATTTCTCATATATCCCATCTTGGAGTTCAGAAAACATATGAAATCTTATCAAAAGCTTCTTTTAGAAGGGTACATACAATGACACAAAGAATTTTGTCCTCCCGTATCATTTATGTAACAAATACAAATCTTTCACTCCTAAACGGGCTACATTTAAAGCTATCAGAATACATAAATATCCAAATGACTTATATATATTGGTATTATATATATTAGCTTTCCATATATATTGGTGGTCCTGTACGAAATTGTGGACATGATCTCACTATTTTAGATAATTTCTCTAAACATCTTGTTTTATGACCTCTCAAAAATCTCACTGCTGAAACTGTTACAGTACATTTATTACAATATATGTACCTGGAAGACCAGAAATGATCTTAATTGATTTAAGTACACAATACCCTTGAGTGGTGTTTGAATCAATTACCAATCCTTGGATATTAAATTATCACACTGTATTCCTCAGAGACCTGAGTATAATGCACAAAATGAACGTGCTAATGCTTGCATCAAGAGCTCTTTGCTTATACTTCATAAAAAAGGTATTCCATTTGAAAATGCATTGCTTATCCATCAAAATATTTACAATGGTACTGTTCATCCTTCAACTGGTTATTCTCCTAATATTCTGCATTTTGGAAAAAATTTATCGTTACCTTTTATTATGTTTAATCTTGATCCAAGGCCGTTCAGTTGGATAAATCACATTATTTGTGTGATCTTTTTAACACAGCTAAAACTAAGTATGAGCATGCCTATGAGATGTTGGAATAAAGCAAATAGAACTGAATACTTGTCCAAAAAATGCCATGTTAAGATCATTCAATGTTAATGATATAGTGTATGTGAAATCTAAGGTTATATTCCAGCATACGTTTTCAAAAAACTTTTTGTGTTATTTCTTCTAAAGTAAATGATGTAAATTATGTTATTTGTGCACTTGACAATGATTTTTTCTCAGCCATTTAGAATTTCTCAGCCATCCATTGCCTTCGGTTGGCTCCTAAAAGATTCTCCCTCTAGGTTCAACATCCATCTCCCATTTCTCAAGTTATACATTAATATACATTTATTTCTTTCACTCTTTTTTTGTACTATCATAGAACATTATTACAAGTTATGCAATATGTTTAATAAATATTGTTTGAAATTTATTGTTATGTGTCTTTTGTTGATTTCTTGATTGTGTGAACATAATCATTAGAGTTTAAGGCTTGATCCCCCTTAAATATCATTTCGAGATTCAACAACATTGTGCCTAACAAAGACAAGTGCATAAGTGTTTGATTTCAACATTTCCTGGTATGATGTGATTATAATGGTTTGTATTGTTTCTTTATCCTGTATGTGATTTACCTAATTAAGTGTAAGAGGGGCTGTACAAAAATTGCATTATGCTTTGTCACAGAAATACTTCATTTACATTCTTGTACTGTGTACTTGCAATATGGTATATTAGAAAATTTTACATAACATATTTATATCATGCACTTATATGTATATATGTATTTTGCATAAAAAGTTGCTTATGTGAAGACTGAGTTTATATAAATATATTTTTTGTATTGAATTATGGAATATTTAAATAAGTGGTTCTACGTTCTAATGTTAATTTTTTTTTTTTTTTTTTCCTGTGTAGATGGCATGGTTTGGGTAATACCTAAATGATAAATTTTAATGTAATTTGTAATTTAAATTTTAATGTAATTTGTAATTCCTCTAAAAGAGCACATGTACTTTCAAAATAAAAAAGATCTGCATTATGTTTTTAGTTAAAATACTGCATTTATTGGTTAGAAGTTAGTTCAAGCAGGACAAAATTAAAGATAGATTGTTGTTTGACTTCTGAATTAGAATAGATTGAATTACTTTCAATATTTTTTACTCTTTATGTTTAATTATAAATAATATACAGTTCAGCATAACCAAGTGTTCAGAATACTTATCTGAATTCAAATCCGAATTCTATTTTAAAATCTTGTGAAATCAATTTGAAACATACTTCTCAAATAACAAAGATATGGAAATTTTTAACAGAAAAGGATAAAAATATCAAAATCAAAACTGACATCTGATTCATAAAAAATGAATAAGTTATTATGATAGTAAAGAAAATTTACTGATTGATGCAAAAAATTCTATAAGCTTCATTAAAATTTCGCCACAGTTTATATCAAGCTGTGTATCTAAGCATTTTACAAAATGAGAGATGTGAAGAACCTATTCTAATTAAATTTAACATACATACAGCAAGTATTATTACTATTAATATGATTATTTTTCTACGGGGGAGGGACTGAAAAATATCTTCAACTTAATCACTCATAAAAAGTACTACAAGCCTTACAGCATGAAAGCTGTAAATTAATTTTATAAAATTCAGGAATAAAATACAATCATTAGTGAGCAGAATATTATAACATTTGATAATAAGTCAATCCATCACATTAAAAACATAAACATTTTTTCATCCGCTAGTAAGCTGAGCCGCCTGGCTACTCAATAAATGTTTACATTAGTGAACACAACATTTTAGGACCCGTTTTTCTACTAGGCAGTTTCACCTCCTTCATTATACTCTGTGTACTGACGTATTTTGGCTTTGAAGTTATGAGATCCAGAAGTATAATATTTTTCTACATGCTCATTTTCTAGCAACCAGACAGTTCAACAAAAGGAATGTAAAATTTTACTTCATTAATCATAAAAATTGAAAGAAATTTTTTATTTCACCTACAAAAATAATTCCTTTTTTTGCCCCTTTCATTCCAATTTTTGCTACAGAATCACCCATTTTCATCTCAAAGCAGACATGTACTCTAATTTTATTGCGACCAGCTGTATGTGTAAAACTAAATTTATTATATTAAAAATACAGCTTTTTAAAAGCGATTATATGAATTATTTGATATGTTTTAACTACATATAAAAATTATTTATAATTTTATCTCACTTGTAACTCATTTTTACAATGAACCCATGAAAATCAGAAAAGCAAGAAACTTTTTGCCCTACCCACTTTTTATGAACTCCTCATAAAAAAGCAGAACTCCAGAAAGAGAGTGAAAAAAGCAGATGTAGGAAAGTCCATAAAGAAAAATCAGTAAAAGTAGTATAAGCACTAAAGACCATAAACCTGTGGATTGTATCCATAATTTCCACAATATTTATCTGGAAAACACCAAAAATAATTTGAAGTTCCCAAATACAAATTTGAAAAATAATGGCATAAAATTTTAATCTAGAGAAATGTTAGAAGACTGGATCAGTCGAAAGGCTCAGAATTATTTTCTACACAATTATGAGCAAAGATGTATTCAGATTTCATGCAGTATTGTCATTCATTTGGCAATGCTTTTGTCATTTCACTCCTTTCACAAGCACGTTTGGTTTAGAGCAAATATATGTGGACGTAACTGAATGAAAAGTATGATTATATGCTACAGTTCTGAGAACAATGTGTCATATGGTGATTTCTTGTATTTTATTTAAATCTCACGATTAAAATTATTTCTATTTATTAATCTCTTTTATGAATCTTTTTTAACTTCATATGAATATAAGCAAGGACAAAAATACTTCTCTTTCAACAAAATAATTCAGTTACTCTTTGAAAATTTTATCAAAACTTACTCAGCAATTATAGTTTTTCGGCGTAAGCGTTCATCATCAGCCACAGGCACATCACAGAAATCTCCTGCAGTTTTATCTATAAGTTTATTTACCATTTCTTTGATTTTCTTGTAGCTAGGCTAGAAAAAAAAATAATATACTTAGAATTTATACACATGTTAAAGTATAATGTATTATAATCATGCCAAAGTATGATATTAGACTCAATTGTATAAAAAATTACATTTTATCCATTTTCATAACCATCAGTATTCTAGAATATTACAACATTAACTCGGTTCTTTATTTGATACAAGACCAGAATTAACTCCGTACTTTATTTGATACAAGACCAGAATTAACTCGGTACTTTATTTGATACAAAACAGTAACATCATTACTAACTTTGACTTCCTCCCGTAACCCATTTTCAATATACTATATTCTTCAATCTGGTGTTTTAACTCCTACCAGCCATTTCATTGTCAATATTTTTAATGTTTTCTTGACTTTGTGCTGTTTTTAATAGTATTAAGCTCCTACTGATTTCCTTAATAGTTTCCATTTCCTCACTGCCTTCTGAATCTCTAATACATAATCACATACATCATCAATACTAGCCACAGATGTATTTTGAACTTTCCTAAGTCATTAAGAAATACAACAATCATACAAATGTTGCCTTTTAATCATAACTGCACACAAAATGAAAATAAATGTAAACATTATAAGGTAATAAAATGTTATATAGATGCTCATAGAGCCTCTCATGAGATTTCACTTAAACTACAGCTTCTATGAGCATCTTGACAAAAGAATAAAAATTCATAAGAGATTTAAGACCATAAATGACAGCATTTATTATCCTTGACCCCCTTTAAGCACTTCTGCTAACGGCAAGCAGTTAAAAGCTAGTAGGCATTATAAAAGGAATCCAATCATTGTCAGTTTTCCTGTAACAGTGTTTTGCGATCTTTTATGTTTAGAAGATATGGGTATGAAGTTTTGAACAGCAAAGAGTGAAACTTTTAGTTTACTATCACTTATGCACATATTTTGAACAAAACAACAATCTTCAACTCCTTCAAACAATTTTTTTTTGGGGGGGGGGCTGCTTTACCAGTGAAATAAAAATACATGATTTTTTCCTTTATCTAAAAAAAAAAAAAAAAAAAAAAAACTAAGTTGTTCATTTTCAACAATCAATCAGCTATCAGCATCAAATATCTCCTCATCAAGCATCATCTGTCATGGTGAACTAGCCTCCCTTTTCTATGATAATCCCAAAGCGATCCATGGTTATTGGCTATAATCATTTTACATCACGTGACAAAAATATTTTCTTAAGCAGATGTTTAAATGTTATATGATTAAATCATATGATTCTACTGTAAAGTTGCTATTTAGACTGTCCTCTTGAAAGCACCGGTAACATCATTTGATTGTACCATTGCTTTGACCCTCACTTCAAAAGATTTATGATCACAAACATCAGAATTTCTCAAGTAGGACAACGTGAATTCTGTTTAATTTAATAACTCAACTGAATAATCATCAGGTGGGTCTCTGAACACACTCATTTACTAAAGCTGTACTACTTAAGCACACTTACCTAAACTAACATGATGGCCAAGTAATGTACCTTATTATGCAATCTAGATGCACATTTCCTACATGCTTTTAAAACCAGTCAGTGCCTTTCCCCATCATTTGTTTATCTAATAAGCAGGTATTTGTATGTTGAGCTTCAAAATTGTCAGACAATTTTTCTGTAATACATGAAACTTTTTTTTTCTTTCACATAGGGTTTATGTTAATATGTTTGAAACGTAGAAATATAATTAAAGTTAAAAAAAATCAAGAAATTTTACATTTGAAAATTGCTGCACCAAGTTTTAGTCACACAAATCATATGTTCTGATAGAGAGTTAGACTATATACACATTTAAAAAGGATAACACAAATTAATATGAAATGTTTTTGGCATTTGTTAATATTTCTTTTTAATTTAGTGGCAAAACTATTACATAAAAATAATATAAGTAATGCAACAAAAGGAAAATTTTAATGGTGTTATCTTTTGTTATTTTACACAAAATATATTAAACATTTCTTAACAAAACACTAAAATGTGAAAATGTGTACAATGGTCAGTACTCAAGTGGTTGTACAAAAAATTATGTACCTATTTTTATAGTATCTATATTATACCTAAAATTTTTTAGAAAGCTACTTTGATTTTTTGTAATTCCTGATTATCATTGCATTATAAATAAAATAAAACAATAATGTTACTTTTGTTATTTTACACAAATTATATTAAACATTTCTTAACAAAGCACTAAAACGTGAAATTGTGTACCACAGTCAGTACTCAAGTGGTTGTACTAAAGAATTATGTACCTATTTTTATAGTATCTATATTATACCTAAATTTTTTTAGAAAGCTACTTTTAGATTTTTTGTAATTCCTGATTATCACTGCATTATAAATAAAATAAAACTATGTTACTCATATTTAAGTATGTAGAAAATGAATTCATATGGAAGTTTTCACAGATGGCCAGTCCTTGGTCAGAACCCTATAAATCAGATTCTCGCTGAATCGCATTTCAAATGAGAATAAAATAAAGATTAGAAGAAAGAGAGGAAGCAAACTTAAAAATAAAAGTACTTTCTAGTTAAAGTGAGCACCTTAATCAGTTGTCAAAATCAGAAGATTAGTCACTACAACTAGCAAACTTAATCACCAGATCTTTAATATATAACATATTTGATTTTCAGACTCTTGATTGCAGTGTTGGCCATGAGATATCACTAATTCAATACTGTTTTTTGCCTACAAAATGTATACTATTTTTAACTTTTAATCAATTAAAAAAGAAAGAGTAATGTTTTATAATATTTACATCATGCAAAATATTTGATTTTCACATTCATTTTAGATTACAAGATATTACTTTTTATTATTATTCATTATTTTCTTTCTAAAACAATGCCCATTTTTAACTTTCCACCAACTGAAAAATAAGACATATTTTCATGACATTGGTTTGTTCTTTCATATTCTTCATTATTTTTCCTCTCTGAAATGTTAACATGTTTAACGTACCATCAATAAGAGAAGAGGGAAAAAAGCAGCTCTCTCTCCCAACAGCAAAAATTTTGCATACTGAGCAAAAGTAGAAAATGGCCATCAAATCAAATTACTTACAAGAATGTAAAGTATTTGGAGACACAATGTGAAATGCTGCAGGGATTAAAAAAAGGGGGGATCTTCATGCTTATAATTAGTTTCATGATTCTAGGATTCCTTTTCTTGCCATTTCATATGCTATGGGACTGAAGAACTAATTTCTCTTAGATGGTACAATAGACAGTTAAACATGTGATTGATTAGAACAAAATGATTAGAGAGAAATTTATTGCTTGTTTTTGATCAAGTATTTAGAAGGTAAAATTGTTAGACCTGAAAAATTATTGAAGTTCACAAAAATCTATTCATCAAGCAAAAAGGCAATGAAGGCAGAATTTTAGTGAAATAAATGGACTTTTGAAGGAACCTTTACGAAAAAGGGCAAATGTCACCTTGTACAAATACTAATTAGATAAGCTGAAACTTAGAGGAGGTCTAGGACTTTTCATCGTGGCTGTTTTGCCATCAAGACTTATTTTCCTTTATATGACTGTATTATACTTGGAATCTTATCAGCGCATTACTTTCTTAAAATTAGCATGCCATGTGTAACGATGCATTTGTATAAAAATGTACACAAAAACATTTTATATAAACAATTTATAATTATATAAACATTTTATATAAACATTTTGAATAAATTATTTAATTAAATGAAATTATTAAAATAAATGAACTTACGTTGAATAGCCCCATCTTAGAGAAGATTATAAAAGAACATGTATATGAAGGAAGTAATACACATTGTCACGTTTTTCTTTTCTGACACCAGTTGTTACGTTATTTTATTCCTTCACGTTCGTACGGGGTTCGTGTGGATTTGGAGTGAATAACGAGGACACTTGATGAAGTATCGAAACACACTTTATTTAGCCAATATTAATCAGGACAGCTCCAAAGTCACATTTTAGAGTCGTTGGAGATCTACTATTCACTCGCTGGAACAATCAGCAACACAGCCTTCAGGTTATCAGGCTATAACCGTAGAGCACTGCAACACACCAGAGTACAGCTTCCGACTCTGCTTGTTCGTTCTTGGAACTCCACGTACTCTCGAGACTCTCCAAGCTACAACTCAGGATTCACTCAACGACACACAGAGCACAGCTCACGACTCTTCGGTTCAGTTGTTCCCGGAGCTCAACACACTCTCTTGGCAATGCACTAACTGCGATACACTACTTTGATGCACTCGGCACTCGCTGACCGGCTGTCAACTCAAGACTAACTAACTTGCACTCAAGACTAACTAACTAGACGAGGCACACTCTCTAACAGACTGCGAACCAGCAGGGTTTATATAGCTTTCGGCTTGTGTTCGAGAACATTCTGGGCTAAACCGGTAAGAATTCGTGCCAGAAGGTCCTCTATCCATCCATGGCATATCGCCAATTTTGTTACTAAATGGGCGCTCTCTCGCCAAATGTGGTAACCCTGCCTTCCTTTGCCATTTTATGGCAACCCTAAAACCGCTTTGTGGGGAAGCCATCTCACCGCACTTGTACATTTTGTAACACTATATTCAGATTGCTGGCATGCTTATCAGAGTGAGGTACTATTATGAAAGGCTGGTTTTCAATATTTTACACCAAATTATGAATACAACTTTGGGTACTATTCGGTTTCGAGGGCCATAAAAAATCGCCAGACTTTTGTTGATGCCAGTGCTGCCAAAAGTAATTGCGGCAACCTTAACGCAAGAAAGGAAGTATAATAGTAACTAACTATTTAAATATTTATGTTTTAATTTAGATGAAAGGTTAATTTCATATAATATTTCGCTACCGAGTTATCACTAAAGCATAATGTCATCTCGTTGGTTGTTCAAACATAATTTTCTATAATGAATGATGCCTTTTCTTTGAAAACATTTCTGGTAAAATGCAGAATCGCCTGCTTATTTCTTTGCCGCTTTTTACAAGGGTAAAAACAATTGGAATTTTG